CTGAGTGAGCACCTCCTCCTGGTTGAGGGCTTCCGTCTTTAGGCTGGGAAGTGTGTATGGCTCAAATGGGATTGATCGCTCCGCTGTCGGTTCGACTGACTGCCCTGAACTAGCAGGCACTGTGCTATTTCCCGCTCGACTCTCCAGCTTCTGAGCAGTGCTGGGTGCTGCAACTGTTGAGGTCGGGGGTTCTCGCTGTGTGCTATGGTGCTTGGGATCAAACCTCGACAAGGCCATTTCAGATTCCTGACTATCTTCCTGGAGTACAAAAGAAAAAAAGAAATTTACTCAATGATATAATGACATTATTTCCAAATAAAAAGAGGACTTAACCACCTTAACTGTCTTTCTCATTTCTTCAAAATAACATCAATATAACCCCACCCTAATGCCCCCAAACAAATACAAAGATCAGGATACCAAGGAATAAATTGAAGAAGCCAAAATAAGCACTGAGGTAGTATTAGTACCATGGGAAAACCTTTTTTCCTTTTATTTTCTTTCATTCATCAGTAGCAGCAGCACTTGCCTCAACATCAATAATAATAAGTATAATAATAATAATAATAGTATTAATAATAATAATGTTAAAAATAATAACAACAACCTGCCCACCCAAACACTAATTTCTCCTCTCCTTACCTGTTCTTCCATTGGCTGTGTCGGTTCGGGTGGCTCGGAGGGAGGCTGCAAGCTCGCGACATGTGACCTATTTGAGAGCTTGGTGGGTGGAGACATAGCATCCGCGCTGCCTGTTCTGGGCCTAAGGGAGAATTTGTGGGAAAAGGAGAGGGGATTTTTAATGGACAATCTTGACTTCCAACTTAGAAGTTTATTAAACCGAGTCATCCCACAATAACAAACAGCTGTAATTTAAAAGAAAGGAAAAGAAAAAAGAAAAAAAAAAAAAGAAAAAAAAGAAAGAAAGAAAGGGAAAAAAAAAAAAGGGGAGGGGGGGGGGGGGGCATAACTGTCACATCTGATGAGCAATGATGCATGTGCATAACATTAGGGATAGGTTTTTCTTGCTATACATGTGTCACCAACAAATTTTTCTATTACAGAATATAAAAACATCTACATAAAGAGAAGCATAAGTAAAATTAACTCCTTGGTGCCGGGTGACGCCGATCGGCGTGTAATCAAAGAGCTCGAAAGCTGGCGTGCAGCCGAACGAGCCGGTGGCGAGCCAGTGATTCGGGCTGATGTCCCCGACTCACGCGTTCAAACTCGGCGCGCTGCCTTTGTTTGTTTAAGCGTAGAGTTTTTTTTTTCTTTTGTACACCCGGCGCCATTGGGTTAAATGGAAATGAAGTCGGAAAAGAAATACACGTAAATAAAAACAAACAAATAAAAATGTCATAAACAAATATGGATAACAACTAAAAACAATCTTCACCATACCTCTTCTTCTGATTATTAGCCAGGTTCTCCTTGTTCTCCGTGCTGTTCTGAGTGATGTCCACGTCTTTGGGAGAGACCATGGAGATGCTATTTGCCGAGGGGGGGAGGGGGAAGGAGCTCGGGAAAGAAGGAGGGGCAGCTCCTCCTCCTCGGCTAGAACTGGGGGTTTTCTTTGACGATTCGCCTGTCTCGGGGATGACGCGGGATCCAGTCAACGACAAGGACATCTCAGAGTTCTGGGTTTCTGTGGCATATATTTGGAGTCCCTGTTTGGGCACGAGAGAACAGTCTGTGAGGATAGCTGGGTAGTTTTGGATTGTGTGTGTGTGTATGTGTGAAAATATGAGTGTGTGTGTGAGTGTGTGAGTGCGTGTGAGTGTGTGTGAGTGTGTGTGTGTGTGTGTGTGTGTGTGTGTGTGTGTGTGTGTGTGTGTGTGTGTGTGTGTGTATTTTGGGTTCAAAGTTACAGAAAAATGATAAAGTATAGAATAAAAATTAATCTTATTCATATTGAATTAATGAATAAACAATACAGCAATTTTTACATCATTTTTAACCAATGCCTACGGGTTTATGTATTTCCCCTACAGATTTTTGTGAATTTTGTAACACACAAACGACTCCATGTGTGCTCAGCCACCACTCTTACTGATATTATGATTATTAAATTGTTATTAAAATATTAGTAAAATTAAAAACATTAAAATAAGAGAAATAAACAGGTGAGATACATAATACAAATAACTGACTCCTTGGTGACTAAGCACTTGTAGAGCCATCTATGTGTAAAGACAACAGATGAACTTTCATAACAGTGGGCATGGCACTGTAGTCTTGCCACCCGCACTAACTCGATTAAAGGGAAAAAAAACACACACACTATTACCATAAACTCTATTATATCTCAACAAGCTGCTGTTAAGAGAACCCAAGAGAAATCAAAGCTAAGTGACTCAAACAGGCTATACCAACCTCTGTCATCTGCGACGTGGATCCATGTTTTCGCAGGATGTTATTGACCTTGAAAGCTGGATTGCAGTGGCCTTCTGTGTTCATGTAGAGGATAGCCAGACCAATGTCAGACTCTGGTATCACACGCAGACCCTTCTCTTTAAGAGTCTCTGGAATCGATCAGAAATGTGAAATTTTATGATCTCTGCCTCTTCGTGCTTGAAATGCAAAGATACCAACATTAACACACAAAAGTTATTTAACTACCTTCTGAACTTCAAAAATGTGTCATTCTCAAGAAGTATGCACGCACACACACGCGCACACACACACACACACACACATAAATACATTGTACTTCATCAAATTACAACAAACTACACCTGGAAGTTTTCATGCCTGGAATTGATAATTCTTTCACATCTCTTAACAGAATAATAAAGAAATCAAATCCAGATAATTAAACTATTTGCAACACAGAAATCCATATCACATGCTATCAATGCTACTTTTCATTTTCTTTTCATTTCATTTTCATATTTTGTATTAAGTTATTTTAATATTGTGGGCTATAGCTTACTCATTCTTAACAAGTCTCCAAAATAGACCTTTTATTCAAGGGAGGCAAGTGATAAAAAAAAAAAATCATAAATAAATAAATAAATAAATAATTGGTAACATATTTCACTAAGAAATATTCTTTTTCCTTCACAAACACACACAGGTATACACGCATACATCCACTTTCCTAGACTCAAACTTCCCTCAAATGTGACTATTATTCCAATCTCTCGTAAATCAGATACGGCAATGTCGCCCTCCTTTGTGGAGAATCAGGTTCGTTTTAAAACATAGCACTATACTCACTTCTTGCTTCCGTAAGCAGGCTGTTACTCTGTGACATCTGGTTCTTGTCTGGGGGTTGCTGGATCACAAGGTAGTTGTCCCTGGTTATGTGTACAAAGTTTTCCGCTGTCAGGTCCTCAGCTTTGCCTCCTGCAATGGATGGATGCTGTCACTTACTTGGAGGAGGAAGAGGAGGAGGAGGAGGAGGAGGGAAAGAGAGACAGAGAGAGAGAGGGAGAGAGGGAGAGAGAGGGAGAGGGAGAGAGAGAGAGAGAGAGAGAGAGAGAGAGAGAGAGAGAGAGAGAGAAGAGAGAGAGAGAGAGAGAGAGAGAAGAGGAGGAGGAAGGACAGGGGAGGGAGAGGGATAAAGTAGTAAAAAGATTAGAAGAGAGTAAAGATGAACACAAAGATTTTGCAATACATATCCTTACTCATAAATTCATCCATATTTTGCATTCTTTCATTATAATTTTCTTGTACTTGTAAGTGTTCCTTCTTTTTCTTCAAATCCAACAGACCCCAACTCACCTGCCAGCTCGACTGCTGGGCCCATCCGACTGATCTGCTTGGCTGAGGAAAACAGAAGTGTACGACCCTGTAGCACACTTTTCCTTGCCTCCATTGGGGAAAAATCGACTTTAGATTTGTCTAGGCTTAATTCCTGGAATAATAAAAAAAGGATATTTAATGCATGTTAACCAAATCATTTTATAAAGACACAACTTCAAAAAGGTTCCATATAACTCTTCTCTTTTTATCCTTTAAAATACTTTAACTCCAGTTCTGTAAGCATTACATTCATATGAGTACATGCTTAAATAAATATACCCATAAAAAAACATACATACTTCTAAGACATGTATGTTTCTTTTATGCTAGAAATATACTTGAAAAAAGAAGGAAAAAATCTTGAGGATAAACTTTCAACATAAATACCACAGCTGGGGTCTAACCTATTCAAGCCAGGTATCATGACTCTCCTGGCCAGGCCTATCAGAGGGGCAAACGCAAACAGATACCGATAATTTTCTAACAGGCAATGAGGATGTTTAGTGTTTGTTCATCTGGTAAATCTGTTAAATGTCATTAAGTGGGTATAAACGTCATTAATCGTTCTAAAGCAAGCCTAGGTGTACCTAACCTAGGGCAGTGCAATTGTATGGCAACCAAAGTGGGAGACTAGTATACTATAGGTAGCTCACAGATCAGGGCTGAGGATGAACAGTGAATCTCAGGCTTTAGACCTTGACCAAATCTTACTTGTGTGTGTTTTAGCAAATGAAAAATAAGAGGAAAGACAAAGAAAGAAAGAAAGAAAGAAAAAAATGTATCTGTTACAAGATCCAATCTTTATTTTTATCCTATCTGCTTTACAATGAACCACATGACCTACTATTACTAATGATATAAACAATACAAAAAAATAAAACCCTAGCAAAAACTAAAACAAACTACTAATAACACTAACAACAAAAAAACAACACACCCAACACAACTCGAAAACACTTCATACACTAAAGAGTCGACCTCCAGTACCTGTAAAGGGGGCAAGAAGTCACTGGCATTGGGGAGAGGCTCCTTCTTCACGACAGCTTCTGCCCACTTAGTGAAGAACTCTGGGGTTACTATAGGCCGCGCTCCTGCCAGGGCGCACACAACCTGTGAACAGTGTGTGAAGACAGATTATTAGTCTAATAATGATGGGAACGATAAGGATGATAATGCCTGATTACTTATTCATGATTTGTCTTGTTCTTTGGCACACTTAACCTAAATCTATTCGTGCAAATTGTGTGTGAGAGAGTGTGTGTGTGGGGGGGGGGGAGGGAGGGAGGGAGGGAGGGTGAGAGAGAGAGAAACAAAACACTTTATAAAAGAGCCCCAAGGAGCACAACCACCCACCTTGACTGTGAGTGTGATGTTGTTCATAACCAGGTACGAACACGCCGGGTTCCACTCACTGACCAAGTGACCCCCAAGCTTGAGCAAGTCATCTGCCAGGCCCTTCTTGTGCTCTGGCTTCAAGGTGGATGCTGTCACCACCAGAGGCTTGTAGCCCAGCCTGAGATAAAAACATGATTGATGATAAATTAAAAATATTAAATATTAGAATGTGAGAGAAAAAAATATATAAAATGAGCAGAATGATGCATACTAAGATTTATACTTCTGAAAAATATATTAATCATAAAGTAAATCTGACTTCAGACAAGGAAGAAGAGGAGGAGGAAGAGTACCAGAAAAAGGGAGAACAATAAGGTAAGGAAAAAAGAAGAAGAAGAAGAAGAAGATGGAGAAGAAGAAAAAGAAGAAGAAAAAACATGAAATTAACCATGCAAGAAAACATTAAATGATAAAAGAATTTTCAGTATCCTTCTTTAAAAGCTGATGCCAAGAACCTAAATTAACTTCAGTAGCCTATATAACACTCAATCTATACAGGAAACATACTATCTTAAAAGTTTAACTATAAACAGTTCCCAACCGATAATAAATAAAAGTCAACTAATTCAAGGCAATTTGTATCTTAATCCCTTCTACCACAACTTACTGCATTGTTCAATATAAATCACTGTTTCAACTTCTGCAGTCTTGCTACCTTATCATGTCCTAATCCTTAAACTATGGCGTAAACTTCGCGTAAACAAACTTACCGCCATACGTTTGCGAGCATCCCAAACCTTATTCTGTCACCGTCCTTCAGCTCTGTTGTGCTTTTATTTGCTAGTTTGCAATTTTTTTCAATGCCCTCGTTGACAAAGGTGCCATACTTAGACCCTAGTTCACTAAGAGTCACCTTTGGGAGTGCTGTGATATTTTTCTGGAAATTGTGCAGGTTCAGTTATTTTCATGGACCCTTTAATCAGAAGGGAGACACAATAAGCAAGTAAGTAAATAAATAAATTAATAAATCCATGATTACTTAACACTGGTCAGCCAACGCATGTGTGACACTTTTATTTACCCAAAAAATACATACATATAATATAGAACTCTCTTCCCTAAACATCAAGAATCATGATGAGCTAATTTATGGTAAGATGATAAAACAAAATGACATAAAGGTATATAAAAAAAAACTTAATATACCTAAAATGCAACTCTGGTGCATTATGAAGATATACTGCAGTAATACAAATGTTTTTAAGCATAAAGTATAATCATCTATGAAAAAAGAAGAGAAAAAATCCCTGATTATTCTATAACTCCACATCAATCTATAACAATCAATATTAAAAAGAAGCACTACCAAACCACACAACAGAAAAAGCTACAATATACTCTATACACTACAACCCACAAGTGAGATACTGTGATGAAATTAACCCACCAAGTCTGACAGAGAATGCGTCACAGTGATGGAAGCATGCTGGCGACTGATGGAGTTGTCATCTCTGAGAAGAATGTGGCCCTCTCGCCTGCTCACCATTAGGGTAGGTCCGCATGGTAGATAGTGGATGTGTCCTGTTTGTGGGAGAGGACAGTAGTAAATTCTATGATCCTATGATTAGCTATCTGACAATCTAACTTGGAAATCAACCAATCATACCCATGTGAGTAAACATAGAGATAATTCATTCACTCTCTCTCTCTCTCTCTATCTTCTCTCTCACTCTGTTTTTGTGAAATTCTACAACAATCTCTGTAAATGCAGAATTATGTGCTCTATAATTGATGTGATTGAAATTTAATACAAGAATGTTAATTCTTACCAAGGCAGAAACTTATTGTCTGCAAGATGCTGTTGTTGTTGTTGCTGCTGAGTATAATTTTTTACAAGATATTCATGACTGTCACAATATTAACTGTATATCATGCAAGAAACAAACCAACCTGGTGATATTACAAGGAACCACTTTGGCATAACATCTTGTATTACATGTATTTATTGGTATTCTTTCTGAAACTACTGTTACATGTTTGGTCAATATACAAACATCCAGTGATGAAAATACTACTGTTCATATCATATCTGTGAGTGGATCTTCTAACTGTAAATGCCAATAGTTCTGTTTAATACTCAGCAATTGGTAAGTTTTGCATGATAAGATTAAAATTAAATTCTTGTGGTCCTCACATTGTTGTTATGCTCTTCTCTATTCCTGCATTATAGGACTAGACATACCTAATACCTGGCACACCCAAGACAATATTCAGCATATTTCTCACATTCAGTTTGGCTAAAAAAAATGCACACCTGGCATGATTCTGAAGAAATACGCGTTACATCTTTAACATTCTTTATGTAATTGTGAACTATTGAATAACAATTACCCAATTACACAAATATAGTTATCA